AGGCTAGAATTCAGGCTGCATACGATTCATACAGAGAAGAACTACAGGCGAAGATGGCGAGGACTTTCGTCTCTGAGCATAAGAAGGAACAGTGGTTTCGGGAAAAATATGTACCCGAAGCTCGTGATGCGCTGCGCATGCAGATTAACGATTTTCGTCGAAACGCGTACAGCCACTGGGAACAGGATTTGGAGTCAGGCATGTTCGACGAGTTCTCACTCGAAGGCCTCCCCAAAAGCGAAAGTAATGGTGTCGGGGGGGTCGTTGAGAAAGAGGAAGGCGAAGCTACCGCAGCAAATGAAGTTCTCGGGGTTGGTGACTTGGTTCCTGTATCGGGAAATGACCTGCGCGATGAGAGTCTGTATCAGCCAACACTTCTGATTAAGACAATAGCTCCTCACGTTAGCCGCCAGAATCTAGAGGCCTTTTGCAAGGAACACCTTGGTGAGGGCGAAGGTGGCTTTAAGTGGCTGTCGCTGAGCGATCCTAACCCCAGCAAGAGATATCATCGTATGGGCTGGGTCATGCTCCACCCATCATCCGAGACGGCAGCAGCCCCTATTGACCGTCCAGACCCTAAAGACGAGGATGGAGATGTAGATGTGAAATCACCGGTGCCAATCTCTACCGCAGATAAGGCTCTAGAGGCAGTCAATGGCAAGACTGTCAAAGATGAGGTCCGGGGAGATTTTGTTTGTCACGTCGGTGTCCACAATCCTCCTAGCAACCCCCGTAAGAAGGCCCTTTGGGACCTTTTTTCTGCACCTGAACGAATTGAGAAAGATCTCAGCCTTGCGCAAAGGCTAGTCAACAAGTTCGAAGACGATTTCGGTTCTGATTTCAACGCTACCCTCAGAATCGAAGAACGGGTGGAATCTCTACGTGATGCCGGTCGCCTTGAACCAGCTGGCCCTACTCCTGCAGCGAAGAAGCCCAAGAAAGAGCGCAATCTCGATTTCGACGATGCAATAGACGAAGAGGAAGAAGGTGAAATGGGTGAATCGGACGAGGAAGGAGTAATCGACGATGAAGTTGATGACGAAGATCTGTTGATCAAGAAGAAGCAACTTGACTTAACGATTGAGTACTTGCGACGGGTCTTTAACTTCTGCTTCTTTTGCGTTTTCGAAAGCGACTCTATCCATGAACTGACCCGAAAATGTCCCGGGGGGCATCTCCGCCGGCCTCGAAGTACGCTCTCCTCTTCAGCTAAGAACGTAGCTCGTGCTAGTGCTAATGGAGACCCCTTCCCGTCCAAGAAACGAAGCGAAGTCAAGGATGAAGAGGAGGGCGAGGCACCAGAGCCCGATCGAAAGTTCCGTAGTGCCTCCTCGAAAACTGAACAGCAACTTGAACGAGCGTACAAATGGGTGAAGACATTCGAAGACAAGATCATGCAGATCTTGGAGCCTGAATCGGTCGACGTCCGAAAGCTTGGTGGCAAGCCCACCGAAGATGCCCTGAATGAGGAGCTTGCGAAATTCGTTAAGCAAGAAGATGAGCATAAGTTTAGGTGCAAAGTCCCTGAATGCACCAAATTATTTAAAGAAGAGCACTTTTGGAAGAAGCATGTCGAGAAGCGCCATGCGGAATGGCTCGATGGTATGCGGCAGGAGGTAAGCAAGATTCATCAAGAAGTTTACAGGGTTGAGCTAATCGTGATCACAGTTCGAACTCATCAATGCGTACGTTTTAGATCCTGCACATATTGCTCCATCGAAAACAGATGCAAATAGCAATGGCCATTTCCCTCCTGCAAATGGACAGACCCAGCAAGGTACCCCGCGGGGCTTTAATCTACAAAACTTCACGATGAATAGCATGATGGCAACATTCCCCGGCTTCCCGAACATCCCTGGGATGCCCTTATTTGCCGGCAACACGATGCAGGCTGCTGGGTGGAACGCAGGCGGTGATGAGCGTAGCGGAGGGCCCATTCGTCGTAACGGTCCTGGTATCGCGCCAAGATTTCAGAACCGGTCTGGACCATATGACCGCCGCCAACAGCAGGGGCGGTGGGGTCACGACGGTCAAGGTGCTGGTCGTGGTAGAGGTGGCCCTGGTCGATGGGGTGATGGCGCCGCAGGTGGAGCTGCTGTTGGGCCTCGTGAAGCTGTTCAGGGGCGCAGCTTGAAGAGCTACGAAGACTTGGATCACGTTGCTGGAGGCGGCGGTGGAGAACTGAATTACTAGATGTCGGTGATAAGGCGGCTGTTGGCGCTTCATTTTTATTCTCAAGCTTTGCTAAGTTTTGGATGGTTGTTCCGATAGAGATGAGGAAATTCTTTGAGGCGTCCTGAAAGGGGTGTTTATCTGAGCTACGATACTTCCAAGAAGGACTATTCTACTCTGCGAAGCAAAAGGGCGGTCATTTGGACCACATTTGTTGAGGCAACTTAGCCCCATTTCATTGAAATGGCGCTCCAATGTACAAATTAGCTAGGTCGTTTCTATTGGGCATGTTACTCGTCAAGGTTAGTATATACAAATTTACAATCTGCTTTCTTCCCTTTATTTTAAAACCGATGTCCCAAGATGCGAAATACGAAACTGCATATTGTACTTCCGTTCAATCTTAGCATGAATAAGAAGTAGTTGCTAGCAATTCTGGTTCACTGTCCACTGTGAGTCATACTGCTGGAGTTGAATTGGTTTGAGGTAGGGAAAAGTCCGAAGTGCGGAGTTTGTTAACTACGCATATGCCATTTACTCTACTTCGCAAAACGACAGTCTGATATATGTCACTTTGTTGCACACGGTTTATACAACTCGTAGAACTCCGCAAATACCTCCGCTAAGCACGTATTCTCGAAATTGACATGGCACGCACGCTGATCGGCTCTGGCTCTTCGTTCGAAGAGGAAATCGGGTATTCTCGGGCTGTCGTCACTGGTGATCTTGTCTTTGTGTCGGGTTGTACTGGGTAAGTACTGAGTACAACCTCTCTTTCATCCTACGTAGGTCGAAACGGACCGAGTTGAGGCGACCGATGCCTAGGCATTTTGAGTTTAACTCCTAAGCTGGAGAAGATTAACCATTCTAGTACAACTTCTTATCAAGATAATTTTCTTCCCATATACATTTCCCTATCTATATATATTTATGTCTTCTTTATTTTCTCTTCATTTGTCTTCTTGTATTTTCCCTACAGGTAGCATGTAGCGAACATTCTCATGACTTACATAATTACTCACACTGTTTTCCCAAATTAGCTACGACTATACAACAGGCGCCCTATCCCCCGATATAGTCGAGCAGGCAGAGCAGTGCCTGCGGAACGTGGCGTCGGCGCTCTCGGATGCCGGGGCCAGCATCGAAGAGGTGGTTCGTGTCACATATACGGTGCCGGACCGTGAAGCGTTCCCGCGCGTCTGGCCTGTCCTGAGGAGGTGGTTCGGAGACGCCCGCCCTGCTGCTACGATGATTTCGGCGGGCCTTATGAGGGAGGAGATGAAGATTGAGATCGAGGTTACTGCTGTGAAGGGATCGGCTAGGAAGGGCTAGAAGCAAAGGGAGAAGTGAAGAGGGGAGGGAGAGGGAGACACGTAATACGGGGGTAGAATATCTGAAAGAAAGGAAAACTATTGGTCGGCGATCATTTTAGTTTGTAAGGTGTGCCCATCTATAAATAAGTATATAATTATAGTGTCGACGCCTATCTTAGTGACCTACCTATTTTTATCTAGTGTCATTTTATCTTAGATTTCTATTTCTAGCCAGCGATAATTACTGCCTCAACGCCGATTGCTATAATAATTAGAGAGGTAAGGGTGTTGAGGCATTCTGTCTAAGCCTGAATAATTATAGCTAGCTACGTAATAACAATAATTGCCTGCTCATTTAAGTTCTTGTGAAACGCGTTGAAGTCCGTATCTAACTGGAAGGTGACTGGAAGGCAATAAGATATCTCTAGAGGACTCTCGGATAGACCGCAGCCATAGCTAGAAAAAGAGAAAAGCTTAGAAACATACTCATAAAAAGTACGCTTAGACGGTTAAGAGCCTCTTTTGCGCTATTATCTTGGTTGTCTTCGCCAAAAGTTCAGGATTTCGGACATTATTCGAGAATAAGCTGGTACATATAACCTCCTAAGCACCAAGTCACAGAATCTTAAAAGAACAAGTCCATATCGCCTAGTAGTGATGATGGTGATAGCAATGATGATAACCCCCCGTAGCATATTAAGATCATTAGTTGTATTAAAATGGATCTCTTACAGGATCCGGGGGTACTCATAGGAGGTTTCACTGTCTTATGTATGTCTGTTGTTACTTAACACCGGTTAAGCACTCCATTATATAGTACATCAATAGCCTCCTATAGGACATGTAAAAGGTGTGCTAAGCTAAGCTAACACTTATTCGTATCTGCTCAGTTAATAATTCTAATCTGAAAACGCTGGCCAGAAGACTTCAAGTGTATCTCCATGCGGCCCGTTAAAGGAATATATCACATATTAAATACAATAAACATATAAGGCCGAGACTAATTCTATTAGAAATAGTCGTTTACTTTTCCTTTACTTCGGTAAACGCTTCGTCTCGTGCCTCGTGTCGTTCGATTCGACGAAATTACCGTGGTCGTTGCAAGACGGACAAGAGCAGCCGGGAAAAAAAAAAAAAAAAAAAAAGATAAACAAGGTGTATATAGCGTCGACCTTTCCCTAGGTCGAAATATTCACTTAGTGGCGTTTTTATCGAAAAATTCGCAGTTCGAGATAAACAGTTTACGTTGGCTTTGGTTAGTTAACATGTTTATCGAGCCGAAATAGACGAATTAAATAAAAAGTATGCTACGGAGTATAAACGTTCCGTAATGCCTTCCCCGGCTATTCGTATCGCGGAAACTAATAGCCCATTACGTGGACAGTAGCCGGGAAAGAAAAGAGGCATCGCCTTGACCATTTACCACTTGGTGACGTGGTATTTCGGCTAGTGGACCATGGTCGAAAATTTGCAGTGTTAAGGCCCAGATGGGTCCTGCACGCCATTAATAAATTGAGGCCAAGCCGAGATTCGAGCTCAGGTTTCAAGGAAATTCTGATGAATCAGTCAAAATCTTGCGTGCTGACCACCTAACACTACTCAGCCATCTTCTTAGTGGATGTGTGTTTCGTGTCTTGTGTGGAACAGTGGAGCCCGTATCGTGCGGCTCGAGGTGGCCGAGTCCGTGCTCGCCGACATCAGACGAGCCCTGCCCGTTATTAAGTGCTATAATCGCCGAATGCAAGTTAAAATGTCTTACGATATGAGCCTGACTTCTTAATTTCTCAGGCATGGAATGCATAACCTTACAGTAGTCCGTCCAAATCCTAGTTTCTAACTACCGCTTGTTAAGGAGGGTAAAATGAGCAACCCCTTTTCCGAGGCTAGCATTACGCAATACCGATATTCTCCGATTCAGCAGTCGATGCTAGTGTTGGAGCACAGAAACCTAAAACACGTTGCTGTATGGCTCTTCTGGTTATAATACCTCTAGCAAAAGCAAAATATGGTCTGAAGATCTCACGTCTATGAGGTAGCATAAACGAAATAGGTCGATATTCATATTAATATAGCCGTGCCAATAGCGCCGGCAAACATAGCCACCACGGTGACAAAACTAGAAACAGAGAGCAAAGAGATGCCACTGATTCCGTGGCCTGACGTGCAGCCTCCTCCCATCCTCGATCCCACTGTGAGAAAAACACCACCGAGTATTGATCTTGTGGGATCGATACTGACACTGGGCACCGCATGCGGAAGGGATACCGCCAGAGAGACCCCCAGGGCACCGGCCATCATGCCCGCCACTACTGCCATAGCACTGTAGGATTTAGGTCTGCTACTGCTGTTGCCGTCTCTCAGCAGCCACCAGACATAGTCTCCAAACTCTTCAAACGACGAAGAAGTTCCCAGGAGAGTCTTCCGCGTGAAAGCAGAAATAAGTTGAGCACCTGATATTAACGTCCCACCGAGGATAGGACCGACAAAGCCCCTAGTCTTGGCAAGTCCAAGGGCAGAAATAATGGCTACAACTCCAGCGAACATCATCTCAACGCCAATGACAGCCACAGCTTGACTCGTTCTCAACGCTCCTTGTATTGTTAAGTTCTCAGGCTTCGGAGGCGTCACCGGGCTTCTGGATTTGAGTGATGCTAGAAAGGACCGAAGCAAGCCCGACCACAAAATGCCCCCGAGCAGACCTCCGCCGAGCGTGTAAAGACCGGTATGTATCCCGGCGCCGACCTGCGCAAACACTGTCCCGGGGCAAGCACCTGAGAGCGTCATGCCAATTCCGAGAAGACAGCCTCCGAGGATATTGCCGTCGAGGGGCCCAAAGAGCCCCAGGGATGAGTAGCTCCGGGGCTTGAGGTGTATATAGCCTAATTTCTGGCATAGAGTCACGATGAGACTGGTTATAGGAAAAGTTAGATGGATGAACTTTGGATTTTTGTATAGGGAGATACATGAAACACACGATACTGAATACAGTATGAGGAAGTCGACAATAGTAGCAGAAAATAGTGAATATATAGGTGGTATGGATGGTTTACTTACGTGCTTGTTCCTGACGCTATCAAGAACGTCTGTACCATATGCCAGTTTTCGAGCTTCATTTGCGAGAGAATCACGGCCGGCTGGTACATCCCCGTTGCAGCCAGCGCGGCGCCGAAGACCGTCCCAGAGACGAAGGCGTCGAGCATAGTATCTTTTCGAGAGGAACAGTTTTCCTAAGTGATAGTTCAGCCAGGCGAAGGATTGGGCAGCTAACTGACCAAGTTGGCACTGAGATGGAAGTGATCAAATGGACATCACCATCTTATCCCAGTTCTGATGACAATCTCAACGACTTCATTTCGTCTTTAAAGAACGCACTCCTCGTCGGATCCACATTGTGCACTTGAAGATTATACATTTTAGGTCAAGCGTGCAGTGTCCTTCCTTTGTAATAATAACAAAGTAATCGGCGAGGATGGGACCAAGGGGTGACGGACCCCCCCCTTGTGCTTTTCCCATATTCTCCGGCTTCTTTACGCCCGTGGCTCTGGGTCTTCGCCGAATTCGTCGACGCCACCGGACTGCTTACCTATCTACATACTTCAATGCGACTGGCCCGCGCCGTTTTCAACGTAACCCTACCAGAGCCCACACCCCTGCCAACTTTCCTAATCAGCCCTAGACGACGTAGTCTATGTCGCTATCGCGGTATCGCATATAGGAAAGGATCCTGCGACTATATATCCCGCATAGCCATTTATCTTCGTTGCCCATTGTTTGGATAGCCTATAGGTTTATCTCGGGGACCATTAAAGAAGTAAAATGGAAATTATAGCCGATGACCCCCCCTAACCTTAGTAGGCTTTTGGCTCGGCGAAACCCACGTGGCGGGACGGCGACCATGGTTAGACTCGGACTCGGCGATCTCGCTAGCCTGCCAGATCTGAGCCACACTATGCTTGTATGGCGACACTACTGTACCTGCTTCATTCCTTGTAAGTCGGTTATACCTGCTGTGTTGGCCAAAAAAAAACCTGAAACCCGGATATATGGTCGGCGAACTTGCTAGTCAGTTTTGTCACTGCTAGCTAGCATTTAGTGGGTAATGTTCTACGGAGGTGGGCAAAATGTATGTGAAGATGGTCTAAGACTCAACGATATGTAGGGAGAAGGCAGCGATGGAACTTTATTACGATCCTTGTTATTTTAAACTGAACTGAACTGATTGGCTTAATATCAGCGCATCCATAGTCAATATCAAAATAAAATGCGGGAATGGTGCCCTTTCCTACCTTACTATCAGGGTTCTTATTAGAAGACATACAAGGCTCTTCTCATCCTACATATCATTATTGAACCAGATATGGTGAGGCAATGGATCTCATTAAATTTTGCAACCGAGCTACTATGAGTGGCTATTCCTTGGTCAGCTGCGAATGTCTACGGAAGCGAGGAGGACTGCTGCTCATATTCAGACCAAAAAATATTTTCCCCTCAGACTGAGAGGCATATATGACCAAAAGCTCGTGGATCACTTTGCTTTAGTGGCAATAGGTGGCATATAGGGTAAGCTACACCAGGGCAGCAGTGATGTTTTGCTCGTTGTCTGGCCTTATTATTCCCATGGCCCAACCGTGTTTACTTAGCAAGTTGTTCTAAGCAAAAGCCAGGAGTTGGCCTCTAGACTTAGTAGGCAAAGCACACCCTCTTCTACTACAACTTCGCGCTCGCCTTCTCCTCCGGCGCAATCTCAATGACCAGCTTGCCGAACTGCTTCGCGTCGCGTATCTCCTCGAACAGCTCCTCAATCTCCGCCATGTTGTCCAGGCCCTTGACGACGCGACTGACGACCGGCCGGATCTTGTGCTTTGCTACAAACGCGACCATGTCCCGGAACTCGACCCGCGACCCCATCGTCGAGCCGCGCAGCTCGATGTTCTTCATCACGGCCTGCATGATCCAGTCCATGCGCGGCGCGACCGTCATGCCGTAGCTCGAGACGACGCCGCCGGGCTTCAGCAGGCGCAGGACGCGCGTCATGATGTCGCCCCCGGCGCCGTCGACCACGGCATCCAGGTAGGGCCTTGCGGCCGGCAGCATGCCCGCCAGCTGCTTGTCCCAGTCTTCGTCGCGGTACGACACGCCGCCGCTGGCGCCGAGCCCCGCCGCGCGCGCCAGCTTGGCCGGCGACCCGGACGTGACGTACGTGTTGCAGCCGAGCGCGACGGCGAACTGCAGCACCGCGAGCGCGACGCCGCCTCCGATGCCCGTGACGAGGATGTTGCGTCCGAGGGCGGCGTTGCCGCTCTTGGTGACGAGGGCGCGCCACCCCGTCAGCCCGACGAGCGGCAGCGCCGCAGCCTCCGCGGCGCTCAGGTGCGGCGGCACGATCTCGACCTCGTCCGCCGGCACCACCACGTAGTCCTGCGCCGTGCCGCAGTCGTTAGCCAGCGCGCCGCCGATCGTGAAGAAGGACCGGTCCTCCGGGCCCTCGGGCGCCGATGCCCAGCCGCGGGACGGCGTCAGCATCACGCGCTGGCCCACGAGCGAGGGCGAGGTGTTGGGCCCGACCGCCTCGACGACGCCCGACCCGTCGGCGAGGAGCGGATGCTCGAAGGAGATGCCCGGGTACAGGTGTTGCCGCTGGAAGAGATCCCGGTGGTTCAGCGCCGCGGCGTGCAAACGTACGAGCAGCTCGCCGGGTCCGGGAACGGGCTTGGGATTGTGGTTGAGTTGGAGGCTGGATGATACGTTAGATCCATCGCCCCGCAAAGACACCCCAGATTGCGATTTGGAAGAGCGTTGTAGTCAAGTGCAAGGTAGGGTAGTAGTATAGGGAACAAGGTTTAAGCAACTGGGAGCTTCGGCTCGAAACTTACGGGTAATACACTTCGCCGGGCTTACCGTCGACCTTCTTGAGCGTTAAGGAGCGAGACATGTTGAATATGTGGATTTCTAATTAACTAGACCAAGATAAGGAATGGCTCTCGAGTCAACTATATAAATCTATCGTTCATTCAGGCGATTTGTGAGAAACGCACTAAAATAAGTATATTGAGAAGAAGTAGCTAGTACAGAAAAAGGACACACTTATCTCTGCTTTAATATAGTAGATAAACCGAGTGTGCCCATTGAACGTCATTGGAAATAGAAGCTCCAGTTCGCTGCCCCACATTTCCCGAGGGATGCTTTGCTAAGGGAGGTATCTTGGCTACTCGACTCCACAACTGTGCCGAATTGAGAGAGAACCTCGGTTCGTCAACACCGGGTATTCCGCAACCTGGCTTGTGGGATATTTAGTCACTCAAAATTATAGCCAGGGTGTTGTTGAATTATCAAGCCTTTACTGATTTCGGTTCTGTTGTATATTGAGATCTTATCTACCTAAGTACTTCGTCTTATCCCAACTGGTACAGTCAAGACAAGTCTACCAGAATCTGTGTCAAGGCGTTAGTCTACAATAAAGAGAACGTGATTGACACTCAAAACCATGAAGTTCTTAGCCAACGATATACTCATCGAAACGGCTCAGCAATAAGTGCAAACTGTTTCAACGAGTTCAATTTCGTCTTTGGACGGACTCTCTAGTCTCAGCTGCCATATTGGCCATC